CCGCAGGAGCAGGAGCGTGAGGATGGTGGCCAGAGGTCTGGGGCCGCCGCGGAGCCCCTCTGCAGCCTCCCTGGAACCGGGACGGCAGGGAGCCTCCGCCTCCTGCCGGGCCTTCAGGCCACACACCGTGGGTCGTGTGGCCCAGCGGGCACCCGGGTTGGAGCGCTTCCCTCCGTTCCCCGACGCCTTACAGCCACCCGCGAATCGTCACTTGCTGCCCTCGGGCTCCGGACTCCGAAGCTAGGCCAGCGCCGCCCGGTGGCCGGAGTCCACGGGGCCCCGGGCCGCATACTCCTCTCCGGACAGGCCGTGGGGTTGCGGACAGGTTGAGCCGTGGAGTCTGGACGCCTAGGAGCGGAACACGGTGGCAGGGCACAGAGAGAGTCCTCTGGAGCGTCCCATGAGGTTGCTGGGGCTCGGTGGCGCCTAGGCGCAGCCTAGCAGGCGGTCCTGTTCCACCCCTGGGACTGAGCTGGCGGTGTCGGGTTGGGAGCCTCAGATCCAAGCCGAGTCCTCCGGGAAAGCGGTCCTTTCCCTTCCTTGCTACCGCCGAAGAGCTACCCGGCACGGAAAGGCGGAGTCACCGGAGCACGGGGCGGGGTGTTGGGGAGGGGTGAGTAGGGAAGGGAGGAAGGGGTGGAGAGTTGGGCTGCTGCGACGCCTCCGGGTCGTTCTGGCGGCACCAGCGCGACCCACCGGAGCAGGTGTCCCACTGCGGTGCTGGCTGTCAGCGTGCTAGACAACCGCGTCCTTCCTTCCCTGAGCTTGGGCTCCGGAATCTCTTCCTTTCTCAAGCCACTGGGAAACTTTGCTCAACTTGGTGCTTTGAGGTCTGAGGGGCTGCGGGGGCTATCGAGAGTCAAACCCGACTTCCGATTCTCGGGCTCCAGCCTGAAGTTTAAGTTCCCTTTGCTCACTCTTTTGTTCCTGAATCTAACCGCAGCGCCCGGACTCCGGCGAAGTCCTCTCGGGTAAAAGACACGGTTTGGGAACGGAGGACAGACTCCGGGCACCAAGGGAACCAGGGCGTCTGCTCCTCCTCCCGACCGAGCGGCCGGCGTCAGCACCGCGGACAGCGCATCAGTGCCGCAGACCTGGGTGGGAGGCTCTAGGCTGCGGGGGCTCCGCCACCCCGGGCGAGGTTGCTCACCCGAAACCCTGGTGCTCCCCAGACCCTCCCTGTTTCCCCTTCTACCTGCAGATTGTCCCCTACTCCACCCTGACGCAGGTGCGGTGGCCGAAACAGCGTGTCGCTAGGGTGCGGACGCTGCGGAATAGACTGGAGGAGGAGTCACGCGCAGGTGGGGGACTTGGGGCCACCAGAGCCGGAGGATCATAGGCCTGACACTGCTGGGGCTTCTCTGCTACCCTAGCTCACCCTCCCGAAGGACGAGAGTCTGGATATACAGCGGGTGCAGTGAAGGGAGAGAAGGGTAGAAGAAACTCGCTAGGAGAAACGGTGTGCTTTGGAACGCCCTAGGGAAGTCTCCTCCGCCCTACATCGGAGGGGAAAGATAGTGAGTGGTGCACACAGTCGCCAGTCCTTCCCTGCCCGGCAGAACCCAGTTTGGTTGAGGTCATAAAGTTGTGCAGAAGGAACGCTCTCGGTATAGACAGATAATACTGCCCTCTCTGGGTGGCCAGTCTCTCTTTTTTTTTAAATCCCCTTTCCTCTTTTGTTGGCCACGAGTCGGATCCTGATAACGATACGATATAGATAACAGGGTAGAAAAATACTGATGGTGACTTCTTAGACACTCCAGGTGTCTGCGAGAACGCTGGCAAAACATTGAACTGCCTCCGTCTTGCCCCCAGCCCAGGGCCAGGCTCGCTAATCTCCGCCATAGGAAAACGCCAAGCTAAGATCTCCTCAAAGTGGTGCTTGAAGCTTGGTGGTACTTAAGGTGGACTCCTCACTGAACAGCTGTGAAGCTGGGATCCCCCCCACCCAGTGCAGAGGCACAGACTGGCACTGGGGGCTGGAGAGGTGTGGAATGCTGAGTTGCACCTCTCTTGGGATGTGGATTATGACTAGCCAGGGGTGATGGAGGCTTGTATCTCAGAGACACTGCTCCAGTGTATGGGTAGAGGACCCCATGCTCCTTTTGAAATGCATAGATGGGGAGAAATCCACCTCCAGGCTTGGGATGTCTAATTGTGGTTTAAGGAGGAAACCGCTTATCCACTGAGAGCCCTGAGCACCCCGATTCACTGTGGAGCACAGTGGACGCTCTATCCAATCGCCAACCATCACCACCGCAAACTACTATTACTGCCAACTTCTCTTCCCAAGCCTTTGTCTCCCCTCAGATTCCTGCAGGAGTCAGCCCAGCTGACTGTTGCCCCAGTCAGCCGCTGCAGACAGCAACCTCTGGGACTGAAGTCCACTTGCCTGGTCATCTGGAAAGAGCCGTGACAGGTGTGGTTTCAGGAGATGTCCATGGAAGCTCCAGACACAGCTGAAAGGCACTGCCAGGTCTCTCCCGGCTTTGCCTGGGTTCCCAGAGCGGAGATGGCATGTTTGACTGCAGTGTCCTGTGCCTCTGGGTCCAACTCCTTGCCCGGCTGGCAGAGGGCCCACCCTGTCCACCAACCTGTGATTCTAGCTTGATTAGCAGAAACCCCTTGGCATCAGTTTCAACACCAAGTGACAAATCTACTTACGTAATAGAGAAATGATGAGTTCCCTGCTCGTAGATGTGGGTCCTTTAGGGAACCAGCCCCGTGATGAATGTGGCTTTTGTCCAATAAATCAATATCTAAGCCACTGACTGTGTCAACTGGCTATCTTCAGTGTTTTTACCTCAGCCCAGAATTGCCACAACAGCCCTAGAGATAGGGCTGGCTGTGGCAAAATTTCCCCACATAGGTCCGTCCTAACTGCCAGTCACCCTGCCCATTCGGTCTAGTCATGTGACTGATGCCTCTAAACCTCACTCTCAATGATTTCCTAACATTATACAAAGTTGGTGTTTAAGTCTTTGAGTTTGTGGTTCTGTGCCTTTAATTATGTGATTCCCAGAGTTAGGGGTCGGGGTGGGGGTGTCTCATCCTCGTTTTGCCTACTGCCTCTTATTCTTTAAGCAAGCTGTTTCCAATCTATCCACCAGGCCACTGCCTACGCTGTGGGCCCCTCTTCCTCAGCTTGTCAAATGTAGAGTCAGCTTAGATTTTCTTTTCTTTTAAATTTCTGATTTGGTGTGATTGTGTGCACGCAAACATCACCCCTGTATGTGTGTGAGGTCGGAAGACAACTTATGGGAGTTGGTTCTCTCTTCTACCACATTGGCTCTGAAGAGTGAATTCAGGTCATCAGGTTTAAGACCAAGCTCCCCTCCAGCATGGCCCACTGAGTAGCCTTGCCAACCCAGATTTCCTTCTTCTCATAAAACTTTCCCTTTGTAGGAGAGTCTGACCCAACTACTTGGATGCCGTCATTTCAACCCCAATCTTCTTGTATCTGTTATGTACTCAGGAACTTCAGACAGGACAAATGGACGGACACAACTTCTCTTCCCTCTTCCAATTCCTCTTTTCTTCCTCCCTTTCTGTCTTTTATAAGGGGAAGCATAATGCTGGAGTGTTAACCAGGAAAACTGGGTAAAGTCAGATTCAAACTCAACTGGTGTCTTCATACATCAGAACACAGCTAAGAGACACAGAATTTTGTATCTACCACATACAGAAATGCTGACAGTCATAGCGGCAGCAAGTGGGGACTGTTAGACCAGCTAATATGTGAAAAAATAAAGCATAGTATGTCTACACAACAGAACGCCCAGCAGTATGTGGGGTGGAGCACTGAAATGGGCAATGACATCTAACAATCTTGAAAGAATTGTACTTATAAGGAAAAAAAGTATCACAAAAGACCATATATTATGAATTCTAGTTTTATAAAATGTACATAAATGAGTAAATCCACAAAGACAAAAGCAATTCAGTAGTCACTTTAGGTTCATAGGGAGTGGCAGGCACTATTAGGAGGTGTGGCCTTGTTGAAGTGGGTGTAGTGTTGGAGGAACTAGGGGCTGACCTATGCCCCTAGGTCTCAGATGCTCAAGCCAAGCCCAGCGTGGAATTGTCTTTCTGCTGCCTGCTGTTCTGTATGTAGAACTCTCAGCTCCTTCTCCAGTACCTACCATATCTGCTTACACACTTCCATGCTTCTCACCATGAAGGAAGATAATGAGCTAAACCCTTGAAACTATAAGTCAGCTCTAGTTAAATGCTTTTCTTTATAAGAGTTGCTGTGATCATTGTGTCTCTTCACAGTGATAGAAACCCTACAACCAGGGTGGATGTGAAGGAATGGATGGTTGAGTTTCTGTTGGAAGGCAGTGGAAATAGTCTAAAGTTGATGGTAGTGATGATGTATGATTTCATCAAGAGACTCAAAAGCATCCAGTTGTGTATTGGAAATCTTGGAATTGCAGGTTATGTGAACCAAAGCTCACTAAAGCTGTGTAAGAAGCAGAAGTGTAATTGATTTGACAAGTTTTTATTTAAAAAATAGAACCAGGCATGGTGACCCATTTTTGTAATCACAGCATGTGGAGGGTGAAGCGGTATGGTTATGAATTTCAGAACAGGTTGGTT